AAAATAGCTGCATTGGGCATTCCGCAATCCACCGCAATCGCAAGCTGTCCGCGCGTGTTAGAATAGCTTGCGCGTTACGGTTTAGGGGCAGTTTCCTAGGCAAGGGCAGCGTGCTGTGCGTTCGGACCTGCTCTTTTCTCATGTTTGGGGTGCAAGCACACAGCACACACAAGAACATTTTGGTGCACAGGTAAGTGTGGGTGCTAAGCTGTCATTTCTAAGTGTACGTTTGTGAAATGCTTCTAAAAAAACTTGCGATGACCCAGATTTGAATAGATTGATCAATCTGTTCTTTAAAATACATTGCAAACAAATTTATTCTGCCCAAAATAAAAGCCCAAAATTTGGAGATTACTGGTATAGCTTATTGTAGATATCTCTATTGTTAAGCATTGCAAAGATTAGAAGCACAGCAGCATATCGAGCGATTGCCGTTTCTCCTGCAGCCGCCTTTTCCCTAAAAAATTTCCAAGTACGAGCTGGGTCTCTCTTTTCTATCGAGCAACCCACGAATAGCGAATGAAGTTCTTGGACGTCAAGGAAGGAAGTGACTGAAATCACACGTTCAACAATGTAATGCTTACCTTGCATATTTGGGAATAATCATCACATCCAAGGTATATGTATTTGTCATAGTCTGCCTTCTCTCTAAATATGCAACGTCAATTACAGGTGCTTTATGTGAAAGTTTGATGAATCATACATGTAACAATATTCCACTGTGGGTGCGCACATCTTTATCATTGGACGCGGTCTAGTCCCTGTAATTTGCAAGTGGAGGAAAAATGAGAGACATAATACGGGGATATCCCAAAAGTATGTCCCACCGTTTGATCGCTCATATTTCTTTTCCACAGAAGTCTTTTGCCTACCTCCCCCATATACCACCTGTAAAGCTGACTTTAGCTTGGATTTGCGTGTGAAAGGGTTCATCGATCGCTCATCACTGTAGGATTACGGAGAGAACTTTGAAGAGGGTTTGGGCCTTGGAGGGTCATATCTTGCCTCTCAAAGAGAAGATAACTACCTAAAAACTCTTGCACTAGTCTAAGTTGCTCGTTCCGTTAAGAAGTTATGTCAGGTAAGCAGTAATAGCCGTTTTTTCGATGTGTTTGAACTGTCTAGAAAAAGTTTCACAATCCTGTACAAAGTTGAATATTAAACTCAGCGTCGATGAAACACCTCGAAACCTTTCAGTTTTTTTCGTGAAATTTTGCAAACCGGCAGCTTTTGCACAGCGACGCCTTATGCCGGTAGTTCTTTTCGTAATTCTACAGTAATGAACAGCGATCGATAGGCCGCTCCCTGCTGCAAATCTAAATTTGAGCTGGCTCTACAGAATGATATATGAAGAAGGCAAAGACCTTCTAGCAAAATTTTGAATAACTTGTATAATTGTATATACGGGAGGAACCCAGTACTGCTAAACGTGGAATTCTTCCGCATTTCATTTTCCTTTCATAAGTATAGCGAGTGAGATAAGGGCGTATACGTCTACTACATGCGATAGCAAATAGAAGCTTGTAGAATAAGGAGCAAAGATCCGATTTGCAACATTATAAATTACTTGATGGATTAAATCCAAACCTTGTTAGATCACGTCGCACGATGATGCTCAACGGTTGTCTTTCAAAGCTCGTTTTGCCCTATCGAATAGCGCCCCTCACACATTCTTTAGTGTTCGTTCTGTTGCTCTGGCATAAAAAACGACATCCTTTTCTTTCTACCCTTACAATCTGTCGACCTCCAAAGGCAGTGCTTCATCAAAGTTCAAGTACTTGATTACGGGAAATCTGCCATGTCCGATTTATTTGGGTCTTGAAAGCGTCACTTACAAAGGAAAAGCACGACAAGATTTGATAAATTGGAAAGAATTGTATATTATTAGGCGTATCTGCAAATGCTGACTCCAAATCTACCTCCTTTTTCTGCGACAACTTTCTGAAAAATTAAGATTATTTCACTCAAATTTAAACCTCAAGTGGCGTAAAATCAGTGTGTACAAAAACATCCATGCGGATTTTTATTGACTGTGATCCTTCCTTGTAGTAAATTAATTACACACTTGCATGCGTTTTTGGACAGGTTTGCGCTACTTTATGACACTTAAGACTTGACAATTTTAAGCTTTCGAAAGCTAATGCTTCTTTCGGAAAGTTGCTCCATTGGAAAGAAAAGCAGATTTGGACTCAGCGTTTGAAGGCGCGTCTGGTGGCATGTATCTTCCTTTGGGGCAGATCAGTTGTCATTTTCTAGTTAGACTGCATTTAAATAGGTTTAGACTCCAATTTCAATTTTCAATTTTCTATATGTCTTTTCAGAGAAACGCCTCCTTGCCGACATGATTGTACCTGCGACGGAGCAGATAACTCATTGTACACTTGCGGAGGATTCAAAAGGCAGTCTTGAAGGCAGTGTCCTAGCAGATTCGCACCCTGGGCTAGCTGTGGTAAGGTTTTTTTTACCCCACTAATCTCTACTCCTAGTTTGGCTGATTGATGTCGCTCGGATGGCTTCGCTTACCTGTTCGACGCGGAACCCTAATCCAAAGCAAAAACTACAGCGACAGGGTCTTCGTGCCAGAGTCTCCCAAATTTCGTTGAAACTCTCGTGTGACCTGAGTTTTGGAAAGTGGGTAAACGCTCCAAAACCGTCCTTTCACCAGGTTTAAAGCTCAAATTCAGATTCTACGTGTCAAGAAGCCCTTAAACATGCAGAAATGTGGAAGTGCAAAATTTGTCGGGGCACTGCCCCCAACGAATATGGTGCGAGCTTGTACCAAAATATGGTTATACAGGGTCTTCATTTCTTTGAAATCGCAAAAATCTTAAGACTCAAGGACACGGCCTGCAAGCTGGTTTGTTCGAGTGGGCTTACAGTTTGACACAACAGACTCACCGTAGTAACATTCGAGCGCTTGCGTGCGGGCAATGATAGCCACAAGGAGAACAACGGGCACAAACGAAAACATCTGATGAATATAAAGCTAGATTCTAATTTGAGGGGTTTTATACTGATTGATGATTCATTGTATTCTTGTCAAAGCGCTATTTATAAGTCCCACACTTTTTAACCTCGTTTAAGTAGCTGAGGAACCGCTGTCACAATGTCGTATCATGACAGTTCTTTTTTTTTCGGGCGATTCTATCGAGAATTTTGAAACTAATGTAGCGTTAAATCTGGTACAAGAAACTTTACGGCTTGCTAAGCTTGTCTTCAGTAATATTACAGAACAAATTCTCTAGCACTTATCAAAGACACTATGACCTGCTTGGTCACAGTATGGCGCAAGATAGACCACACTTTGAGATAACATCAGAGTTTTGTAGTTACTCAGACAATCACAGGCTCTCAGCCGGCAGCCACAAAGCCACCGCGGAAACCCACCAAGAGCGCGGTGGCTTTGTGGCTGCCGGCTGAGAGCCTGTGATTGTCTAAGTAGTCCGGTATGGCCATTGTGGACTGCAGAACAGCGGCGTTTGATGAAAAGAGTACTGTACCATCGTTTACCTCACATTTACTTTCTAGAAGGTGTAAGCTTTGAGGAACCATATAGTGCTAAACACTATTATAATCCACTCTCGATATCGTCATGACTTGCCTTTTTAAGGGAATCTGTTTGAAGTTTTGCTGCGTTTTATACATGCAAGCATACCATTAATTTTCCTAACAGCCTCCAATCTCGTTGATTCAAAACGGTAAAAAAGCGAAATTTTCAAAGAAGCCCTCAGACTGGAGTGGACACTAATATAAATCCATTTGCTTTTTTCAGCTGCCACTGCATTTCTTGCATTCTTCGACTCTTTAAGATTATTCGAGAGATAAACATGACCTGGATTTATTCCCTCTCAAAAGCATTTAGTCAATCTGCTTCGACGAACAGCTGGTTTGAGTTTGCGAGTTTCTATACATGCCACGCAAAAGTCTTGGAAACTTCTGAGCTTTCTTGATAAGTGAGGTGAAGAACGCTCTTACAAACTTTAATTTGCTGATATCGACTGACGAGCTCCAAAATCACCAAATCCTACAAAACTCGATGTTTGATATTTAGGAAGTGCTGAGCCTGATTTACTATATTGCTTAAATGATAAAGCGGTTTTGAGAAAACTCTTAAATTGTTAATTGGACTAATTTTCGTGAAAATTTTCCGTGAGCAGAGATTGGACATAATTCTCAATTTCACTATTTCTGTCTCTGTTTTAAATCAGATTTTGCGAGTTATTCAAGCGTAACCAATATTTTGAAGTTTTAAGCGTTCTCCAATTTGACCTGGTGGTCTGACAGGGAAGACACTTTGAAAGCGGCCATATGAAAAATGATGCATATGGATAGACAGCTCTTTGAATGCTGATCTCAAAACTGCTTTCGCTATTTGCGGAGCTTTTCTGCAAAGGAGTTATGAGCCTTCGTTCTCCCCAAAAGCGGCCTTCCCTTTATCAGGGCGCGGCAAGGCATTTCCGTTGTGGCGGCGTGGTGTAGTGGTGAGTGCCTGCGGTTTACAGAGTGAGCAGGGTTCGAGTCTTGCTGTCGCCCCGCAGTTTTGCATTTTCCTAAAATTTTTACTTGCCTCTTGCAAGAATAAGCACATGTTGGATTACCAACGCACAGAATTAAGAACACTATAATTAAAAACACTTGCGAGATTTGCGATAACTTGTCCAAATGCGGCATTTTCTTTTCTGCAGTTCACAATGGCCATACCTGACTAACTACAAAACTCTGATGTTATCTCAAAGTGTGGTCTATCTTGCGCCATACTGTGACCAAGCAGGTCATAGTGTCATTGATAAGTGCTAGAGAATTTGTTCTGTAATATTACTGAAGACAAGCTTAGCAAGCCGTAAAGTTTCTTGTACCAGATTTAACGCCACATTAGTTTCAAAATTCTCGATAGAATTAGCCCGAAAAAAAAAGAACTGTCATGATACGACATTGTGACAGCGGTTCCTCAGCTACTCAAACGAGGTTAAAAAGTGTGGGACTTATAGATAGCGCTTTGACAAGAATACAATGAATCATCAACCAGTATAAAACCCCTCAAATTAGAATCTAGCTTTATATTCATCAGATGTTTTCGTATGTGCCCGTTGTTCTCCTTGTGGCTATCATTGCCCGCACGCAAGCGCTCGAATGTTACTACGGTGAGTCTGTTGTGTCAAATTGTAAGCCCACTCGAACAAACCAGCTTGCAGGCCGTGTCTTTGAGTCTTAAGATTTTTGCGATTTTAAAGAAATGAAGATCCTGTACAACCATATTTTGGTACAAGCTCGCACCATATTCGTTGGAGGCAGTGCCCCGACAAATTTTGCACTTCCACATTTCTGCATGTTTAAGGGCTTCTTGACACGTAGAATCTGAATTTGAGCTTTAAACCTGGTGAAAGGACGGTTTTGGAGCGTTTACCCACTTTCCAAAAGTCAGGTCACACGAGAGTTTCAACGAAATTTGGGAGACTCTGGCACGAAGACCCTGCCGCCTGTAGTTTTTGCTTTGGATAGCACATGCACAATACGGAAGAGTCATAGGGTTCCCCGTCGAACAGGTAAGCGAAGCCATCCGAGAGACATCAATCAGCCGGACTAGGAGTAGAGATTAGTGGGGTAAAAAAAACCTTACCACAGCTAGCCCAGGGTGCGAATCTGCTAGGACACTGCCTTCAAGACTGCCTTTTGAATCCTCCGCAAGTGTACAATGAGTTATCTGCTCCGTCGCAGTTACAATCATGTCGGCAAGGAGGCGTTTCTCTGAAAAGACATATAGAAAATTGAAAATTGAAATTGGAGTCTAAACCTATTTAAATGCAGTCTAACTAGAAAATGACAACTGATCTGCCCCAAAGGAAGATACATGCCACCAGACGCGCCTTCAAACGCTGAGTCCAAATCTGCTTTTCTTTCCAACGGAGCAACTTTCCGAAAGAAGCATTAGCTTTCGAAAGCTTAAAATTGTCAAGTCTTAAGTGGCATAAAAGTAGCGGAAACCTGTCCAAAACGCCTGCAAGTGTGTAATTAATTTTGTATCTACACTGACTACAAGGAAGGATCACAGTCAATAAAAATCCGCATGGATGTTTTTGTACACACTGATCTTACGCCACTTGAGGTTTAAATTTGAGTGAAATAACCTTAACTTCTCAGAAAGTTGTTCGCAGAAAAAGGAGGCAGATTTGGATCAGCATTTGCAGACACGCCTAATGATATACAATTCTTTCCAATTTATCAGATCTTGTCGTACTTTTCCTTTGTAAGTGACGCTTTCAAGACCCAAATAAATCGGACATGGCAGATTTCCCGTAATCAAGTACTTGAATTTTGATGAAGCACTGCCCTTGGAGGTCGACAGATTGTAAGGGTAGAAAGAAAAGGATGTCGTTTTTTATGCCAGAGCAACAGAACGAACACTGAAGAATGTGTGAGGGGCGCTATTCGATAAGGCACAACAAGCTTTGAAAGACAACCGTTGAGCACCATCGTGCGACGTGATCTAACAAGGTTTGAATTTAATCCATCAAGTAATTCATAACGTTGCAAATCGGATCTTTGCTCCTTATTCTACAAGCTTCTACTTGCTTTTGCATGTAGTAGACGTATACGCCCTTATCTCACTCGCTATACTCATGAAAGCAAAATGAAACGCGGAAGAATTCCACGTTTAGCAGTACTGGGTTCCTCCTATATATACAAATGTGTACTACCAATTGTGTACCCTCACAACTTGGCTTTCAAATGCTCCATTTCTTAGGAAATATCAGAACCAGAAACCCCAAAGAAAGGAATATTCTTCTTAACCTAATATTATACAAGTTATTCAAAATTTTGCTAAAAGTTCTTTGCCTTTCTTCATGTATCATTCTGTAGAGCCAGCTCAAATCTAGACTTGCAGCAGGGAGCGGCCTATCAATCGCTGTTCATTACTGTAAAATTACGAAAAGAACTACTGGCATAAGGCGTCACTGTGCAAAAGCTGCCGGCTTGCAAAATTTTACGGAAAAAAAACTAAAAGGTTTCGAGGTGTTTCATCGACGCTGAGTTTGATATGCAACTTTGTACAGGATTGTGAAACTTTTTCTAGACAGTTTAAACACATCGAAAAAACGGCTATTACTGCTTACCTGACATAACTTCTTAACGGAACGAGCAACTTAGACTAGTGCAAGAGTTTTTAGGTAGTTTCCTTCTCTTTGAGAGGCAAGATATGACCCTCCAAGGCCCAAACCCTCTTCAAAGTTCTCTCCGTAATCCTACAGTGATGAGCGATCGATGAACCCTTTCACATGCAAATCCAAGCTAAAGTCAGCTTTACAAGGTGGTATGTGGAGGAGGTAGGCAAAAGACTTCTGTGGAAAGGAAATATGAGCGATCAAAGGGTGGGAACATACTTTGGGATATGCCCGTATTACATTTTTTCTCCACTTTCAAATTACAGGAATTACATCGTACTCAATGACAAGACAGAAGTGCGCACCCACAGTGAAATATTGCTACACGTATGATTCACCAAACTTTCACATAAAGCACTTGTGATTGACGTCGCATATTTAGAATGAAGCCTGACTATGACAAAAACATATACCTTGGATGTGATGGTTTCAATTTATGCAAGGTAAGCATTACATTGTTTGAACGTGTGATTTCAGTCACTTCCTTCCTTGACGTCCAAGAACAGAGACCCAGCTCGCACTTGTAATTTTTTTTAGGGAAAAGGCGGCTGCAGTAGAAACGGCAATCTCTCGATATGCTGCTGTGCTTCTAATCTTTGCAATGCTTAACAATAGAGATATCTACAATAATTGTACCAGTAATCTCCAAATTTTGGGCTTTTATTTTGGGCAGAATAAATTTGTTTGCAATGTATTTTTCAAGAACAGATTGATCAATCTATACAATCTGGGTAATCGCAAGTTTTTTAGAAGCATTTCACAAACGTACACCTAGAAATGACAAGCTTAGCATCACACTTACCTGTGTGCCAAAATGTATCTAGAGTTAACCCTGCGCAAAACAGGAATGTAAGCTATACTGAAAGAAAATTGAACACAGAGTTTATCTTTTAGTGATGGAGTCAATGTTAGCAACTGCAGAGACAGCAGACAAGTGTAAGCCTTCTAAGAACTATAAGATACCGCACAACTATGCAACAAAATCACGACCACTACATCTTCTTACTGTTACAAATCATAACCTCTTACAATGACGTGTTTTACTGATGTCGCTCGTTGAACGATGTACCGTCTGCACCCCACAGAGGTTCCCATGTGAACCAGCGTGCGTACGTGGTGCGACGCTGCCTTTCGCTCTTTTTGACACGTTTATCCTGAGATTTCAACGGAAGTGCCCGAGGTTAACACGTTCAAAGGTACGAAAGACAGCGAGATGACGTGGTACCTATGGGAACCTCTCTGGATTTGATCGTTGATAAATCTCTTCCGACTGAGTCTTTTCCTTAGCTTCAAGTACTCCAATAGAGGAGGCTTTGAAGGCAGCAGCTCGCCAAAACCGAACATCCCGAAATTTTGACATGGGAGTGTGCTTGCACCCCAAACATGAGAAAAGAGCAGGTCCGAACGCACAGCACGCTGCCCTTGCCTAGGAAACTGCCCTTAAACCGTAACGCGCAAGCTATTCTAACACGCGCGGACGAGCTTGCGATTGTGGTGGATTGCGGAATGCCCAATGCAGCTATTTTTTCTAACTATGCACACGACTTCATTATTGTACACGTTTTCAAAATTCAAGCCTTGGAATGTAAAAGCTGTGACAGTCCTCGGTGATGTTAGAGCATGTCCTTCAACATCAACCATTACGTAAGTCTATAAGTGCGTCCTTAACCTTAATTATCAAGGAATAAGAAGAAGAAATAGTGAGATTTAGGCTTATGTCCAATCTACTGCTCAGAAGAATTTTCATGATCAGTACTTGAAATTTGAAGGCGCGATTGCATCACAACATCTGAGAATCAATCAAGTGGATCTATAACAGTGTTCAGTTTGAGGCAGTGGCTCAACAATCTTCTACAAATTTTGTTGCTTACTCGGGGTAAATCGACGCTAATCCTGAAAATCGACTTACCTAGTACGCTCGATCGGGTCAAGAGTTGAAAGCAGGGGATGGGAGGAAGTGGCTCGAGAAATTTGAGGGGGAAAAGCATCGTACGCACTGTATTGTCTTTTGGTTTCACAAAATTGATTTGCTGTTATCTGTTTATCAAGATTCTAAATATTAGGTTTTCCCAAAGTTCTTGCGCCGCGTTTTTAATAAAACATAACTTCTTCGCATCACAATGGATTCCTTTGAAGAGGACCCCACATGAAAGCACGATTCAAGCTCTTCAAGGGATTCTTTGAAAATGCGAAGCAAGAACTTTTGGGACACTTAATATTTGCAAGAAACAAGATTCTGCATGGTTTTGTAACTCAAGTAAATCATTTACCTAAATTTTCGCAACACACTTTTTGGAAGCGCAATGGGGGGGGGGGGGGAAGAGGATAGACGCTGCTTTGAGGGTTGTGGAGGAGAGGAATTAGGAATGGCTCTTTTACTTTCCAGTATTGTAATGTCTGACAATGCTTGAAAGCATGCTAGTATCCCGAGTCACAAGTCTGTTAGACCAATATTTTCACGTTTTTAATATATTGCTGCTCGTACGCCTGCAGCAGTGGAATATATTTAGACCTTAGATTTTGGCTTCATACTTCCGTAGGTCAAACTTTCTGCAAATGACTATAGGATAACTTGTAAAGTCCATCAATCTATTGAACATAAAGGTAATAGCTTGGCTCCTAATCAAGAATTTGAGTCTGCAGGATGTCGTCGTCAGATGGAAGGGTTCCTTCATACTACGCCGCGTACGCGGCGTGCGCGGCGTAGTATGAAGGAACCCGAAAGAAAACTTATGATCTGTTATTAAAACTATCATTAAACCCCTAGCTCTAAAATTACAATATATATTTCAACACATAAAGACACGTTTCAAAAACTATATACAAGCAATAAAATATAAAAAAAAACTTCATGTAATTATTGGTCAATTGACAATACTAATATCAGTCATAAACTACCTAACATCAACATAAATAACATGCAATTATACTAAGCTAATTTTACACATATGTTCACTAGCCTATCACATAACATAATAGAAAACAGTCTCAAAGAACTTCTCAAATTATGCTTCGAAAATGCAAACAAAAAATATTTAAATATAATGGTTTCAAGAGAGTATATTACACCGATAATATAAACCAAAATCTAGCAATAGAAATTACACTATTTCAGATTTATTATATTACTGACTGCGGTCCCCGGTTCCGCCCGGGCGGAGGGTCCGAAATGGACCGTCTGCTTCAAGATGTTTGCTTACCATTCCTCCACTTCCTTCAAATCATATTTTCTCTTCTTCTCCTGCTTCAGCTTCAAATCAGTTCCAGCACACGCGTAGTATCCGTGGTGACTTTTTGCTTCTTGACCGGCTCCCTCGTGACACCGCATCCTTCTCACCGCAAAATGTAAATGATCTTAACCGTCCCTTACTACTTAACTTGGAGAAATGAATGATATAGCTTTCATTTTCCTAGATGTTAGTAAACAAATCAATAAATCGATAGAAGGGCCCAGCGAAAAGTTGCGAAAAGTAGCCTATCTTCTGCGCTATGTCTCATTTATAGGGGAACAAAAAGACTCTTAGGTTCACATACAATGAACTCTATAAGCCACAAACATCCTAACAAACAAAGGTACAGTGTTTGAGTTTTATACATTTATAGATATTGATTATATTCTTGATAACAGTTTTTGCAAATTTAGCGCATACATTTTCAAATTAAAAATAGGAGTACCACAGGTTGGTAATTTTAGTCCACTGTTAGCAGATCTAACACTATCTTGGTATGAATATGAATACTTAATTAATAAACTAAATTACAAAATCCAATTTTTTGCATTTTGTTATATGGATGATTTATTGATCATACACAATAGCACTGAACCTATAATTCATAATATTAGGTTGTCCCGAAAGTTTTGTCGGTTTCTTTCATCGCTCACAAAAACTCACAGAACACCAACCCATAAGCGACTCAAGGACCATTTGATTCAGTTTTTATCCTCTTTCTTACAGTTATACTTGCTCTCTGATTTACCCTGTCTTTGCAATGTTATCGCCATGGCTTTTCGAGTAGCTTTACAGTAAGTACATTTGGCGTAACTGAAAATCTTTCCTGAATTTTGAAATTTTTTATTCTGATGTTCTCAAAAAGCGCTGGTAACTGTTATGTAGAGCAAACCTTTGGCTACACTGTATCTTTTTTAAATTACATTAACCGTGTTTACCAAATCCGTTATAATTATTTATTTAATAAAAACCGCGGCCTTTTGGTTGAGTTCAACACGTAAAAGTACCAAAAATACCAAAAAGCTGTTTTTCGAAGCGAATCAAAGTCGGTTATGTTGCATAAATGATGTTTAGTAAGAATCATGTTTCAATATGCAGAAAATTTGAAAGCTTTCATGTATTTTATGCAGCTGCGTGTTTCATGACTTTGCCAAAGATCGAGACCTCCAGTGAAATAATTTTTTGAAGCTGAAGTCAGCAGATTAGGAGAGTCCAAAAAAAAATCTTGTAGTCCGAGAGTTGCTCTATTTGACCCATAGTTAATCCTTCTCGAAACTATGTAATAAAATTTTTAAAAATTAGCCTAACTTTGAGCAGGTAAAATTGACAGGTGGAGAATTTTGGCAATTATCAAAAAAAGCACACAAGATTATGGTATGAAAATGTACCCATAGGAAAGAGAAGGAGAAGCTGCATCGAATGCATGTTGAAACTCACTCAGGCTTTTATTGTGCGCGGTATTACAGTGGTTTGAAAAAACCGACAAAACTTTCGGGACAACCTAATAATATCAAGAACGTATATGATAACAAACTAATTATAGAAACTACTCATATAAATTGTTTACATTGTAATTACTTGGACTTGAATATTACAATTGTTAATAACAGAATTATGACTAAACTATATAACAAAACTGATAGTTTTCATTTTTAAGTTAAAAGATTTATACACATTACTTCTGGTGTATCCAACCACATCAAAAACGCAATTGTTTACACAGAAACACTAAGAATTGCGCGTATTTGCACTCATCTCGACGATTTTATCAAAAAATTCTACAATTGAAAAACTTACTCATTTCTAATGGATACAATCAAAACATGATTTATTTCAAATATTTTGAAATGCTTACATAGAAATATTAGGTGGGTGCAAAAGTTCTTGCGCCGGATGTTCAAAAAATCATAACTTCTTTTCTTCTCGACGATTTTCCTCAAAATTATTTTTGTATGAAAGAGGAAACCTTTTTTATAGCGGTACCTTTGCCATGAATTAGCGTTGGTAAGTTCGAGAGCTAAAGGCAATTGAATGAAATTAGTCAAGATCGACATTTCTCAAGCTGGATCACGAAAATTTCAGGAAGTATTTTTATTCGTCAGAGAAAATTTCGCACATTACAGTGGTACCTTTTTCATGAATCAAAACGAAGTGGATCGAGAGTTAGAAGCAAATAAAGGGAATTTCTTCACTTTTGCAATTTTTGAGCATACTCAAAATAGCTTGAAAACGTTCACAGAATAAACATGGGTTTTGTGACCTTCCCTTTCTAAATGAACGAAAAACGTGCCAATCGGAAGCAATTTTTAATTTCGTGTGCGTTTTTCACGAAAATGAAAATTGCTCCCGATTGGCACGATTTTCGCTCAGCTAGAAAAGGAAGGTTACAAAACCCATGCTTATGACTTTTTCGCCTTTTCTGTGACGTTTTCAAGCTTTTTTGAGCATGCTCAAAAACTGCAAA